TGTCCTATCGTTCTAAATATCAAATTATTAATCTGGCAGCTACAGAAAATATTCCTATTGCGAATGCCAAAAGAATTATTAACAACAATAATAAATGGACAACAATAAATGGACGTTTCCCTCAAAATAACCTCAGAATGGATTTCATTTTATTAATTTTCCCTATTTAAGAGGAGATTCTAATTCTTACTCGCAAAGTTTTTGTAATCCTAACTTCTACAACTTTTTAGATAAAGATAACAGCGGCAGCGAATATAGATCATACGCAGATATCACTAGCTCAAGGTCATGGATCGCCTCTAGAAGCAACAAACAAGACTCGCACCTCTCCCGCCGCACAATACAGACTCTTCTCGCAGAAAACCCAACCTGCAACAGCCCAACAATGTTGGTTACGACAGAAGAGCGCACCAAAATGCGCTCTACGACAGTGGAGGTAGAAATGGTTATTTCTCCACAAATGTCTGGCATATCAAGGTTCTTCTCCTTTATAGCAGGGCTTTTAAAGTACAAATAATTTTGATAATACAAAGACCATGTTGGAACTTAATCTCGAAACTGCTACACTGCTTTTAAAGTCACAAGTTTACAAATATAATTGTATTATCCTTTCATTTATTTCAGAAATTTAAGCCAGTCTTGCAATACGTACAGTTCTCCCAACAATTCTCGCTTCTCTCCTTTCTCTAATAATTATCATAATCAAACAAGTACTAATTCTCCGAATTACAATTTTTCCCCTCAACAGTAGTAATTCTTCTGACAATCAAATGTATAATTTTCGGAGCTAATTCTGATAAACCAGATGTCTCCCTTTCTCTTCCTTATGGGGCTCAACATGGAAATATCGCAATCTCTGTATAAACGCCCAAAAAAAGTGTTAAAGTATTTTAGAATTCTACAATGAAATTGCAGGAGTGCCTGAGGCAATTTAATATCGCTGCAAATCCTGTTTAAAGATTGTAATGTATTCAAGAGTCTCTGCTTAAGTCAAATGATATTTTAAGAATTAAATCTTTTGAAGCCATTAGAGCAGATATTACACAAACAGGATATAGGGGCATCTGGATTCGGGAAAATATCAAATTCGAATTTGTTAACTTAACAAATGTTGAACACCGTCCGTTGAATTCCAAATTATCAAACTTCTTTCTCGCAAAAATCCAATCATCATAATAAACGTATATAGACACCCAGGACAGAATACTCCTCAGAATTTTACCAGAATTGATTTAATATATATATATATATATATTATTTATATAATGATTTAGCTGACTACAAACATGTTTTGATAATAGGTGACTTTAATGCGCACCACTATAACTGGGCTGTAGCTCCCAATCAGGCTCAGGCTCATGAAGGCGATTGAGAAGAATGACTTTGTAATCCTTAATGAAGGAGTTCCTCTTATGTAATGCTGTGGCATTTAATTCAGTTATCTGGCCCCTCCTTGCCCCACTTTGTAATAATTACGTTCTCGATGACACACATGGCAGTGATTACTTTCCAGTAATCACGGAGATCAGATTCACTTCTCAGTATTTTCACAGATTTTGCTACAAACTGAAATTAAAATCGGATGAATTAGACAAACTCTATAGCATTTTAAAGAACACAACCTCTGAGATAATAAATAATGAAACCGAAGATGTCCTCTATCAGTAACAAATTCTCCAATTACATTTTGGAATTCACCAGGCCTACCAACTGATGAAGGGAGTGCCGCACAATAGATTCGACTCAAAGCAACCCGATCTTCTCCGCTGATGGAATGAAAAATGTGATAGGGTGATTAAAGATCGGAAAAAAATGCTCAAAGAATTTTCTCTCCGGATAGAGTTCATCTTGAAATTTATCAAAAAAATCAAAAGGAAATGTGCGGAATGCTTATTGGAAAACAAGCGCTTAGGTTGGCAAAAATTAGTCGAAGGATTTAATAATAAAACTCTTCACAATAATATAGTCTCTCATTAGGTATTTCAGGCGAAATAAAAAAGTCACCCCTTCCTCTACTGAAAAGTTCACTAAGGCATCATCTGAAGCAATGAACAAACTGGGTCCTCTCTTTTGTTTCTATGATCATATAAAACAAATAGAAGATATGAAGTGTGAGGATCTTCTTAAAGGAAATACGCATGACTAGCTAGGTGAAGCTCTTCACATTTGACGAATTCTCAAGAGCCATAACAAACATGACTAAGCGATTTGCCCTCGGTCTTGACCAGACTTTAATATTGGGTTGTCTAGAAAGTTCGTGCCGACTAATTTATATAATTTAATAAATGTATACTAAAATTTAAATTTTCTGCGTTTCAATTTTCCTTCAACATCGGCACGAACTTTTCGGACAACCCAATATAATCTACAATCTTCCTAGAGAATATCAGATTCAACTCATTAATCTTTACAACAAAATTTGACTCAGAGGATTTTTCCAGAATCCTGGGAAGACTCGCTGATTGATTTCTAAACTGGGGAGTGAGACTGTCAGAAAAAGGTAAAAAAATCATTAACATCAATTCATTATTATCCGGCATAAAATAGAGATCACATTCCGACTTCTTCTCCTCACCATCTATTGGGCGACTTTAAGAAGTGCGGTCGAATACGGCTCGCAGATCTTCTTCTGGAATACAAAATTGTCGAATTTTATTAAACTCTTCTGGGTTCAATACAAGGCTGTCAGGAAAGCATTGGGTTACTGTATTTCCACACCTATTAACGCTATGCTATTTCATTGTTATCTTGCATAACGCCAAAGTTATGGAACGCATGATCTATTTCAGAGTCAGATGGTTCTTCGAATCTCGACGACCTACCACAAACTCAATCGGAGTTCCGATCTTCTAGATCCTGTGTCGACAATTTGGCCACTCTTACCACTAACATCAAGACCGGCTTCATTAACAATTCTTCAACTGTGGCAGTCTTCCTAAACAGTCGGCGCTTCCGACAATGTCATTCCACATATCTTAATTAACGACCTATTGGAGATTGATATCTCTGCACCTATTAAAAAATTCGTAGAAAACCTAGTAAGCTTAAGATATCTGAACTTTGTGATCAACGGTTCGCTCTTGCGCCCATTAGACTTCTTTAAAGGTATATCACAAGGCTCCACCCTAAGCCTCATACTCTTCAATATATACTTAAAGGACATTAATACCCACCTTACTCAGAATCATTTATTTCAATACTGCAGATGATATCATATACTCTATCCAACGCAAAATTGAAGCGACTTACTTTAGAACTCAATTAACAGCATCCTGATCTACCTATCTTAGGAATAGAGGCTTGGAACTTTTGCATAGTAAGTCTAAATATATTATATTTTCTCAAATAAAAAAATACGGATGCTTCTGAATTAACTCTATTTATACCTAGAATTCAATCATATAAATTCCTTGAAGTTTAACTTGATGATAATTCACAAGCAACTTACAGTTAAAAGCTCTCATGAAAAAGGTAAAAAAATCGTTAACATCAATTCATCATTATCCGGCGTAAAATCACACTCCGGCTTTCTCTTCACCATCTATGGAGCGACTCTAAGAAATGCGATCGAATACGGTTCGCAGATCTTCCCCTGGAATACAAAATTGTCGAATTTTATTAAACTCTTCTGATTCAATATAAGGCTGTCAGGAAAGCATTGGGTTACTGTGTCTCCACACTTTATTAACGTTATGCTAAGCGAAGCTAGAAAACTTCTCCTACACCACAGATTCAACTTAGCTGTCTCCAAGTATAAGTCCATGGCCAATAAGTTCAGTATTTCATATGAAGCCCTGCGGAAATTAGAATACATAGTTTCTCAAAAAAACCGCAGAGCAGAGGCCATCAAGTATTCCAAACTTTTTAAGTCTTATGTCACTTGCAAACCTGATAAGAAGATTATACACATATTCCCCCTGGTTTTTTGGCACGAGTACGAAGTAATGTCTAAACCAATTTCTTATGTAAAGACCATGTTGAAGTGCAACAAAAAGGAGCAAAATCATTCCATCGCAGCCGACTTGATTGAAATGATTCTAAATCATCTGAATTTAGACAAGGCGCAGTCTCTATTTATACAGACGGATCCAAGGAGCCAGGCGAGATTGTAGGAGTCGGCGTTTACTTTCCGGATCTTGGAATTTCTATCGGAACACAAATTCTCTGTGACATCAATTTTTTTCAGCAAAACTCTGAGTCATATATCAAGCCATGCTCCTGGCTTGAAATTGCGAAAACAATATTATTATATTTT